GAGTTTGTCAAATTTCACCGGAAGCTGCACAGTACTGTGACGCGAAGCAGACGAGGAGGAGGCCAGGGTGGCAGTATCGTCGCCTTTCTTCTCCACTTGACTGGTTGCCGGTAGCTTCCTGAGCTTGTGTCTGCAGAGATCGTGCTTCCAGTTTATAAAACAGAGATCCAGTAGGCAGTAGACGTTCTTCAGCAGGTGCTCGCATATGCGTAGGGAACTGTGCAAGTTGCTTGTCCAGTAAATGCCCGTAAGCAGGGTCGAATAGTTGATGCCACCATCAGCGTCAATGTAGTTGTTTGAACCGGACACCTCTTCAACCTCGAAATCGAAAAAAAACTAAATTAAAAACAGGAATATGACAAACTACTTTCAACGCCTATGGAAAAGACATTTTGGCAGTAAAAGTTCACACATCGTCATGGTTACTGGCGTTCTACAAAAAAGTGTAAATAGCTAAAGGAAGTCGTACCACACGCAAATGAACAGACTGAGTCGTAACTTGTTATTTCTAATTCGTATGTTCTTGAGGATGCACACTCTCCTGCTCTGACTGCTCCTTAAACATGTGGGTGATTGTTCGACCATCGATTCCGATGAAGCCCACCACGTGCTTAGGAGCAGGAAGGGTGAAAGCAGCAGGTTCGCTGACGCACAGCCGTCTTCCGCACTCTGAACCCTCAAACCGCTAGAAACGGTGACAAGACAGAGTCGAGATGACGTAGGACGCTGTGCCCAATGCAGGCCAAAACACTGTCTAACTTAGTCTTAAGCGACAGTAGACTTTTGCGCTTTTACTACTGCATTACCTACCCTCACTCACCTTCAGGAGGTGTCAAGACGGACTCAAGGACACCGAGGCTGCTACTGCTACCACTGCTATTTTTACGACTACTAACTAGCAGCGTGGCTGAGTGTTAGTAGTAGTGGTACTAGTTCTGAGGCTAATATTAGTCAGAGGTGACGCCGATTAAAAATCCACGCTGGGGCTCATAACTCCTTGATCTTAATGGGAAGTGTGAATCTGGGTTTATGCTATTCTGAGTGAAGCCCGGAGCGCATCAGGGCTTGCCTTGGTTTCCGCCATCTCAACTCTATCCACCAGGCTGTGTTAGTTTCTAATAGGTTTGACCTACAAGGACTAGGACACTGCTGCTAGAAGTGAAGTGTCTATGGTCAAGTGCTAATTCTAGTAAGCATACTTATTAAGACCAGTACGTTATATACTATAACACGACCTGTGTGTGTGCTTGTTGTAAGTCGGCACCCAGTATGCATTCCCAATGTGCATTACGTAAAATAAATAGCTTATGGATTAAAGAAAAGTTGTTAAATAAATAGCTTAAGTTCTACTATGTCCTTATGTCGCAACGTAGTGCCTTTTGCCGTTTACAGGCTAATTGGATATATACTACAGTATCTAGCTAGTGATAGACACCGCATGTCCACAGGGTACCGTCTTTCCTCTTCTTATACTAGCTAGTAAGAGGTAATAAACGTTCACACCTCGTCACGGTTACTGACATACTACGAAAAAGAAAGCAGCGGACCAGAGTGAGTTGCAACTTATTATTTCAAATTCGTAGGTTCCTGAGGATATTCGCTCTCTTGCTCTGGCTGTTCCCTAGTAATGTGACAGTAAAGTGTTATCTGCTATCCTGTCTGCCTTCCTTTCCTAACATACGACTGGGGGATGTAACCAGTGTCGACGCAGGCACCCAAGGTGATAAAAATATGGATGAATATGACTTGTATGATCGCCTACACAGGAGTCGAAAGTGGTAACCGTCCGCAGTAGATGTGACTTTGTGGCAAATTACGGAGAAATTCGGCTCAAAATTGAGGTGCCGGTTACGGTTAAGAGGACGATTAGGTTTACGTTTCGTTTAGGATTAGCGTTCGGGTTAGATTCAGGGCCATTCTATAAGTTACGGTTTGGCTTGCTGTTAACTGCGCGAGTTCGGTTTAGGGTAGGGCAAGGGTTACGACTGAGGTTACGGTTTAGTTTAATGTTAGGGTTAGTGTTAGGAAATATGTATCCTTCCCAACATTTATCGTGAGACTGATTGTTTAAAGTGGTCGGGATATCCCCAGTTCCCGTGTCCTTTCTCGGTGATTATAGAAGTCATTTTTACCAAAAGGTTATATAAAGTAGATACAGATTATAGCTCAAACATTGTACGCCTCTTCTAAGATGGTGGAGACTTTATTAAAACAAAGTGGAAAAACGAAGAAGTGTCACTTACCAACTGCATACTGTTGTAGGCAATATTTGTATCAGAGTAACTTCGGTGAATGAGAGAACGTTGACTGGAAGTAATAATGTCCGGTGAAGCCGGGCCAAAGTCACCATGCTCGATGGAAATTTGACTACAATTGATGCCGCTGTCATCTTCATTCAGAGAAATGTCTCTCAGCTCGCCTAGGCCCCGTTTTTCCAGCAGGGAGCTTTGAGATTTGACTTGAGTCAACAGGCCCTCCTCGTGGCCATGTAGCTCCAGCAAATCGCAAGCTGACTTTGGATGTGGTGGTTTTGCCTTGTTGCGCATCGAACTACCCTCCGCTGGGCGTGAATTAGTCTCTGACCGCGGCACCGCCAAGAGGCTGCCTCCGGGTATCTCTGTGCAACCACGGTCGTCAGGGTGTAATTTGGACAGGGCGCTATCCTCGAAAACGTCTGTAGGAGAGGGAAAAATTCAGGATTATTTGAGAATGGAAACAACAGCCATCTTCGGATGAATATAGTGATCATAAACTAGGGAAGTCCTGCAAGATTCGCGTTACATGGACCCTTCCAGCATTCATAATGCAGGTTCGGATATAATTCGTTGAAAAATGGCACCTTTAGGTTCGCTAAAACGTTTCCAGCGAAAATGGACTGAGGTCTGAAGAAGAGAAATTCACGGTTTATAAAACCATTTGTTGTAGGTACCTACAATGAAGACCAACCGTTTCGAGGTGAATCAGTGACAAAACTGGCAATTCCTGTCCCAAAACTTCTAGTTCACATTCTTTCAATAAATTTTTCCTGAGCATTTTAAGTATCAACTGCTAAATTAAACCCCTCATTTGCGCACTTATGAGCGACGTGATTCAATTTTTATCGAGTGTTTAAGATATATGGGCGCTCACGGGTCGGTTACCGGATTTGCCCGTTCGATTGGGTTTCAAGATTCAAGTATGGTAGGCGCATGGATCCGTTGTAGTGGAGACTGTACACGTATATGGTTAGGGACGTGCTAACTGCGCATTTTAGTAGGACTTTAAGGCTATTAAAGTTTAAATGGCGTCACAGGAGATAAATGCATACTTTTTGTAATTTAAAGTGGAAATGGTGCATGCTAGCGACCTATTATGCATAGCTATGGTGAGTTGCGTATGCAAGAGGAAATATGGCATGCATATTTACTAAGGAGTTCAGAAACAAAAGTAGTCAAGGAAGTCGATATTAAACCACTCTTATGAAGACATTGACGTGTTAGTGAGATCACCTTCAGGGAAAGCTACCTACCAAGAAAGCCGACCATTGAGTCTGATGGTTGGCGGACCTAAAATATCTCTAGGCGTTCAATGACCTACTAAAAATATTCACGCCATTTCGGCCGGCGTAGTCCGACGAGGGTCACCGTGTGATCCACGGGATGGTTGTGCAGCGACAGTGACTTGTGTGTGGATTTGTATTAAGTGATAGTAGCCTTACGCTGCATCTACCGCACTCACCTGCACCTGGTGTCAGGAAAACCGGAGTCGGAATTGGGCGCAGGTTGCAGG